TCGTTGGTTGGTGGTTGGTTGGTTGGTTGGTTGGTGGTTGGTTGGTTGGTGGTTGGTTGGTTGGATGGTTGGTGGTTGGTTGGTTGGTTGGTTGGTTGGTGGTTGGTTGGTTGGAGGGGGAAGAGAAGACCAGCCTATCTCAACACCCACAGAAAGGGACGTAGCCAGGGGAAGGACATAGGCAAGGGACACGCCAACCAGCTGCAACCCAGGGAGTGGGACGGAGTGTCCTTTGGGGGCAACTGCACAGATATACAACACAGACTGTATGAAGGGAGGATGCAGGCAAGGCAACTTTAACCACATGGAGGCATCCGCCTCATCCCATCTCGGTGGCAGACTCAGGGCTCCAGGAAAGCAGCTGAGTCGGGAGTCCATTCTGATGATTTTCCCATCTCTGTTCCAGCCAACAGTCAGGCGCTCCCTGGAAACAGAAGGATGGTGGGTCAGACTAAGGGGACAATGGAGACAAGCCCAGATTTTGGCAATGAGTCATCAAGAAACACAAGAAGGTTGCATCTTCGCTTTAAAATAGCAAGGGAGTGACCCATTGTGCTACAACTCTAAACCAGAGATATCCAACCTTGGCAACTTTAAGACTTGTGGACTTAAGTCTTGTACCCAAACTCCAGTGGGAATCTTGACCCTAGACCAGGAGTGTCCAACCTTGGCAATTTTAAGATTTCAACTCCCAGAATTCCCCCAGCCAGCAAAAAATGTCAACGTCCCAGAAGTTGAAAGTAATTCAAATCATCCATGTCTTCCCCAACTGAAAGGTGGCCTCAAAAGGAAAGGCTGTGTAGCTCCAGAGAAGATCTGGAGGACCATCATTGATGTCCTCTGCTAGGCCCATGATAAGTAAGCAGTGGGGTGCCACAAGGTTCCGTCTTAGGCCCAGGACTCTTCAATATCCTCATAATATCCTCATAAACAACTTAGATGAGGGAATAGAAGGGGAACTTAGCAAATTTGCCGAGGATACTAAGCTGGCAGGAAGAGCTGACACCCAAGAAGATAGGCTCAAGATCCAGATGGATCTTGACAGACTAGAACACTGGGCCATATCTAATAAAATGAGATTCAATGTAGAGAAAAGTAAAGTCCTACACTTAGGCAAAAAAAACCCAAAGGACACACAGAGACCGGGTGAAACCAGGCTCAATAGCAGGAACTGGGAGGAGGATCTTGGAGTCTTAGTGGACAACCAGCTAAATAGGAGCCAGCCGTGTGCAGCAGCAGCCAAAAAAGCCAACGCAATCCTAAGTTACATTAACAGAGGGATACAATCGAAATCAAGGGAGGTACTAATATCACTCTATAAAGCCTTAGTAAGGCCACACCTACAGTACTGCATCCAGTTTTGGTCACCACATTATAAAAACAATGTTGGGACTCTAGAAAAGGTACAGAGAAGAGCAACCAGGATGATGAGGGGACTGGAGGCTAAAATGTATGAAGAATGGTTGCAGGAACTGGGCCTGCCTAGTCTAGGGAAGAGAAGGACTGGGGAGATATGATAACAGGGTTCCCATTTTTGAGGGGCTGCCCCAAAGAAGAGGGGGTCAAACTATTCTCCAAGGCACCTGAAGGCCAGACAAGGAACAACGGATGGAAACTGAACAAGGAGAGATTCAACCTGGAAATAAGGAGAAACTTTCTGAGAGGGAGAACTATCAACCCCTGGAACAGAAGTTGCCTTCAGAGGTTGTGGGAGCTTCATCCCTGGAGGCTTCCAAGAAGAGATTAGACTGTCAGAAATGGTGTAGGGTTTCCTGCTTGGACAAGGGACTGGACTAGATGACCTACAAGGTCCCTTCCAACTCTGTTAATCTGTACCTGTACCTAAGAGTTGCTTTCGGACGGCGAGAGGTTAGTACTCACCTTTGGTGAATCTGCAGGCTCTGCGACACTCGTCTTCGGATTCAAAATTGTTCTTGTTGCCACCACAGCCGCCGTAGATGAACGGCTCACATTTATGAGTGGAAACATTGTAGAAGAAGCGTGGGAACATTGCCTTGCAGATGCCACAGACGGAGGGCAGCTGGCAAACATCTGCAACAGCCAAGGAGACCCAAGATGAGACAGGAGAGAAAGGGAAACCATCTCTACAAGTCCGCTAAGGAGCCGAAATAGCCCTAGAAAGCTACCTGATATTTAGAAACGCGTTTTGGATTCATGGAACCTGCAGCGAGTTAGAGAAAATGAAAGACGAACATGCAACACATGAGAGCAGGAGCCTCCAACCTTGGCCGCTTTAAGACTTGTGGACTTCAACTCCCAGAGCTGAAGTCCATAAGTCTCGAAGTGGCCACGGTTGGAGATCCCTGCATTAGAGAGTTTTCCACGGAGGCCGTGGTCAGTGGCACCATCTTGAGGCCAATCCGTCCGTCCATGGCCATTGAATGGAATTGAATTGGGTACTTTATTTCAGGGGTCTCCAACCTTGGCCACTTTAAGCCCGGAGGACTTCAACTCCCAGAATTCCCCCGCAAGATTGGAGACCCCTGCATGTCTCTGGTGAAGAAGCTCTCAGGGTACATGCAAAGCAACTGAAGAAAAATAATCATCATCCCAAAAAGAGGGGAGAGTAAGAAAGAATTCACGTCATCGACAGGAGACCCACCTTCTCAGAAAGTGGGGCGGGGGGGTTGAGATGTTTGGGAGAAGGTTTGGCTGTCCCCAGCCCTCAGTAGGGTGGGAGGTGTTGACATCTGAGGTCCCAAAGATGCATTTTTCCAAGAGGCCAGTGGACTTTGTGGTTTTTTTCTTTGAAGACTATTTTCTTCTCATCCAAGAAACTTCTTCAGAGCTGAAGAAGCTTCTTGGATGAGAAGTGAAGCGTCTTCAAAGAAAAAAACCAGAAAGTTCAGTTGCCTCCTGGAAAAATGCACCTTTGGGACAACCAGGACCTGGATGGTGGAGAATCTCCACAGACATCAATACCTGAGACCATGAAAATGGTGCATCACCCTCCCTTGCACAAAGCCAGTCTTATCTTTGGGTAACATGGTGGCCTCATGTCCTCAAGGTGGCAGATGTCAGGTCTCCCAGGAACTAAGCGAGGTACATCAAGGAGAAACTTCCTAACTGTGAGGACAATTAACCAGTGGAACCAATTGCCGTCAGACGTTATGGGTGCTCCATTGTCTGAAATGGTTTGAGCAGGGGGCTGGACTAGAAGACCTCCGAGGTCCCTTCCAACTCTATCCTGATTCTGAGTTGCTTCCAAGTAGTTTCCTTTACGGTTCCTCGCCTACAGACAGAATCTTGCCAGACTAAAGGAACGATTTGCATCTTATAGATAATACCCTGAGACTCTCTCTAGGAAGGGGCCCTCTTAACTTCCTTCCTCCCAACCAAACTGTCTGGTGACTCTTTGCTTTCTGGAACGCAGCTCCAGACCTACCGGCTGCTTGCTTGGCAGACTTCCTAGCACTTGGCCAGGGGCCCAGGGGGTCCAACTTTCAGGGGTCCATCACACAGTTGAGGAAACCAAGTGTCTGGGGCCCCACAGCTCGTTCCCACTTGAGAGTTCGCAGTATCTGGCCAGTTGTTAGACAAGAGACAACCTCTAGTGTCCATGAAGCCACAGGCAGGGCAATGCAAGCTGCAGTGCCTGTCTACCCCACAAACTCTCTGGCTTTGCTGGCCAGGACCTGCACCGTTCCAGACAAACAGTTGTCCAATCTCTTCTTCAAAGCCTCCAGTGGTGGCGCATCCACAACTTCCGGAGACAACTCATTCCACTGGTGAATTGTCCTCACTGTTTTGGAAGTTTCTCCTTAATTGCAGGTCTCTCCTTGGTTAGTTTCCAGCCATTGCTTCTTGTCCTGCCCTCGGATGCTCTGGAGAATAGCTTGATCTCTTCTTCTCCACAATAGCCCCTCAAATATTGGAAGGCTCCCATCAAGTTCACCCCTAATCCTTCTCTTCATTAGGCTGGCTAGACGTACCGGACATGCACCAAGACAAAGTCCTTGCGCGTCCAATCACACGTGGCCAATAAAGAATTCTATGCTATGCTTTACCCATTTCTTGCAACCTTTCTCCGTATGTTTTAGCCCCCAGAGCCTTTCTCATTTTGGTAGTGTTAAGCCTGATGTTTATACAGAATAACAGAGTTCAAAGGGACCTTGGAGGTCCTCTAGTCCAACCCCCTACTCAAGCAGGAGATCCTTTACCATTCCAGACAAACAGTTGTCCAACCTCTTCTTCAAAGCCTCCAGTGGTGGAGGACTCGCAACGTCTGGAAGGAAGCCAGTCCACTGGTTAATTATCCTCACAGTTACGAAGTTTCTCCTTAGTTCCAAGTTGCTTCTCTCCTCGATTAGTTTCCACCCATTGCTTCTTGTCCTGCCTTCTGGGGCTTTGGGGGAATAGCTGGACCCTCTCTTCTTCTTCTCTGGGGCAGCCCCTCAAGTACTGGAAGACTGCTATCCTGCCACCCCTGGTCCTTCTTTTCTCGGGACTCTCGGAAGGCAGAGAGGGCAAGAGGAAGGAGTGAAGGAACGAGCAAGGGAGGGATAAACAGAACTGCAGAGCCGCCAAGCAAAGCCAGAAGCCAAGCAGGCTGGGCCGCTCCCTGAGGCGTGTGGGGGGGTGGGGGGGAGAGGGGGGGAGGCTGGGATGAACGAAACCTCCAGAGGTGTGTGTGTCCTCCCCTCCCCTGAGGAATGCCAGGCTGGCCACGTGCCTCCGCACGTCAGGTGCCCCACCCTGGCGATGACACACACTGGGGGAGATTCCCTGCCAGCGCTTAAGCCCAGAAACTGGAAGGCACGTCAGGCATGGAAGAGAGGAGTGTGGGGGTGGGGCAGGTATCAGCATTTGCACCGTCCCTCCCAAGCCCTCCCTCTTCACCCGAAGGCAGGCGGGGAAGTGGCCACGATCCAGAGCAGGGGGGGGGACTTCAAGCGCTGGAAAGGGCCGCGTTCCTGCAGGAGAGCCGGCCCTGGGCACTGCCGGCTTTGCAAAAGGCAACTGGACCTCCTTGGGGGGGTTTGGGGTTCCTTGAAAAACCTTTTTTTTTGCTTTTCATCCAAGAATCTGGAGGTTTTTCAAAAGAGACTGGACGTCCATTCATCCAGGATAGGGGCCGGGTTCCCTGTTCGAACCAGGGGCTGGACTAGAACAGCGGTCCCCAACCTTTGGGGCTTGGCAAACTGGCTGGGGAAGGGAGGGGGGAAACTGGGCCGTGTGAGTGACAGGCCGGGGCACGTGGGCGCGCACACACACACAGCCCTTGCACGAGTGGCAGGCCAGCCGAGTCATGCGCAACTACTCGCCAGCCTGCTGCTTGTTGCAAGTTGAGCCGTGCGTGCATGCGCCCTCTGGCCAGCCACTCTCACAGCCCAATTTCAAACACGTCACCGTCTGGTAGTGGGCCACAATGGGAGGGGGGGTGGACTAGAAGATCTCTAAGCTCCCTTCCTACTCTGTTATTCTGTTAAGAAGCTTCTTCGGTTCTAACTTCGGAATTCACAGAAGCCAGGGACTCCGGACCCTTCCTGTACCAAGAGGGAAGCCTGCTTCCTCCTCAACCGTCAGCACCAGGTGAGCAGAGATTAACTCCGAGATGAACATCAGACCAAGAGTCAGGAAGGAATCAGTACCCCGATCAAGGAACTGCCAAACAAGCCAATAGTAAACAAGCCAAACAAAGAACTGCTAAGAGAATGGCAGGGCAAGCTATTGGAATATAAACCGAAAGCAAACCTCACTCCTTACTAGCGCTGATGTTGTTACCTAGCTGGGTCATGAAATGTCTGCAAGAAAACCACCAAGCTCAAAGAGCGCCGAGAACTCCAAATCCTCCTCCTCCTCCCCACAAACCAAATTCTCCTCCAGCACTGATGATGTTCCCTAGTTGGGTCATGAAACAACTGTAAGAAAACAACCCAGCTCATAGAGCATCAAGATCCCCACAGTCCTCCTCCTCCTCCTCTTTCTCTCTACAAACCTCCTTCCTTCTAGCACTGATGATGTTCCCTAACTGGGTCATGAAACGTCTGCAAGAAAACATCCAAGCTCAGAGAGCACCAGATCCCCACAGTCGTCATTGTCCTCCCTCTCCCCCTCCCCCTCCTCCTCCTCCCCCCCACAAACTCCATTCTCCTCTAGCACTGATGATGTTCCCTAACTGGGTCATGAAACGTCTGCAAGAAAACAGCCAAGCTCAGAGAGTCCCAAGGGCCCCTCTGTTTCTTCTACCAAAAAGGAATGTGAGGAGAGGAAGAGCCCTCCAAGTATATCCTGGCTGGGAGGTCTCAAAAGAAAGAAAGGCTGGGCAGGGGGCTTCTTAGACCACCGTCCCTCCTCAGCAGATAGGAAGAAACAGGCAAACGGCAGACGGAGAGGGCAACTCACCCACAATGGCTTCCTCGCAGATGTAGCCACAGTCTCCCGGGCAGCATTTCTGGGTGCCTGGGCACTGGTCATCCCTGGCGCAGGTGGAGCAGGACCCGTTCCTCTGGCAGGCACTGCAGTCCTGGGTGTCAAAGACGTCTCCCAAGGGGGGCACGTTGTAGCAGTAGCCCTTCTTATCTGTCAAGAACGAAGGAGAAGTGAAGCCCAGGGAGAGAACAACGGGGAGGAGGGGGCTCTATTTTGGGGAGGAAAGACTCCGAGGGCTAATTTGGAAGTGCTTTGGCCAGAAATCTCTCGCTTTCATCTAGATTTCTCCAAGTCTTCTGGTCAATGAAAAGACAGATCCAGTCGATCCAGAAGTCAGTTGAGTAGGGATGGGTGGATTGGTGGATTGATGCATTGATGGGTTGATGGATTTAGGTTGATGGATTGATGGGTTGATGGATTGATGGGTCAATGGATTATGGGTTGGTGGATTAATGGGTTGATGAATTGATGGGTTGATGGATTGATGGGTCAATCAATTATGGGTTGATGGATTGATGGATGGATGGATGGATGGATGGATGGATGGGTTGATGGATTGATGGGTCAATGGATTATGGGTTGATGGATGGATGGGTTGATGGATT